CATGGAAGCACAGAGTAGAATGATGGTAGCTTGGGTTGGGGAAAATGGGGAAATGTTAGTCAAAAGGTACCAAGTTTCAGTTATACAAGATGAATAAGTTCTGGCAATCTAATGTATACATGGTGATTATAGTTAACAAATGCTGTACTGTATACGTGAAATTTGCTAAGAGGGTAGATCTTAAGTATTCTCATGACATACACAAAAAATATGCTAACTATGTGAAGTGATGAATGTGTTAATTAGGTTGATTATGGTGATCGCTTCACAATGTATATGTGCATCAAAATATCCAGTTGTACACCTTAAATGCAAGGGTACTTCAAAAAGTTCATGGAAAAATAGAATTAAAACTTGAATTTTTCCATTAATTTTGAAGACCACTCATACATATAATTTCTATTTGTCAATTATACTTCAATAAAGCTAAAAAATAAAATAAGCTGTATACTAACATGGTATCAAACTAAAAGATAGAAAAGGGTATACAATGAAATACTTCCTTCGTACCCGTCTTCCAGCTACCCTGAAAGCCACCAATGTTCTTGATTTCCTCGGTACACTTTCAAAGATGTTCAATTCATTTTCTAGCAATTATACACACACACACACATCCACACCCCTTTACTCCTCCCTTTTTTAGAAATGTTAGCAGATGTTACACATAGTTCTGTACTATGTCTTTTTTTTCAGTTTATAATAGTGATTACTACATATCAGCACATAAAGAGTTGTTTTGGTTTTTTTTTTTCTTTTTTTTTTTAAAAAACCTGCCTCATAGTATTCTATTGTCTGGATGTACCATAATTTATCTATCCAGTCTTCTACTGAACATTCAGGTTACCTCCAATCTTTTATCATAAATAATCCAGCAACCGTGTATATATATTTCATACATTTGCAAGTAGTGATGAGTCTCATTATTCACAGTAGCTATGTTCTATAACGTTGCTGGGAAAACTGAAATTAGTGAATAATAAATCATTACATAGGAGAAATACAGGATTAGCTTCCTGTGAGCCTCTGGTTATAACATTTTCATCAACCAATTAATACATAACCTTGTTTCAGATGTGCTGTTGTGTAAATACACTTAACGTACAGTCATGCACTGCATAATGACATTTTGGTCAAGTACAGACTGAATGTACAATGGTCGTCCCATAAGATAATAGCTATACCATAGAGCCTAAGTGTGTGGGCTATATCATCTAGGTTTCTGCAAGTACACTCTATAATGTTCACATGACGAAATCGCCTAAGGATACAGTTCTCAGAATGTGCCCCCACCATTAAACTATGCATGACTGCACACTGTTGATTCATTAACATTAACAGCCAACACCATTTCGTTTTTTTTTTAAAAAAACCTGCCTCATAGTATTCTATTGTCTGGATGTACCATAATTTATCTATCCAGTCTTCCTTTTTTTTTTTAAAAAACCTGCCTCATAGTATTCTATTGTCTGGATGTACCATAATTTATCTATCCAGTCTTCTACTGAACATTCAGGTTACCTCCAATCTTTTATCATAAATAATCCAGCAACCGTGTATATATATTTCATACATTTGCAAGTAGTGATGAGTCTCATTATTCACAGTAGCTATGTTCTATAACGTTGCTGGGAAAACTGAAATTAGTGAATAATAAATCATTACATAGGAGAAATACAGGATTAGCTTCCTGTGAGCCTCTGGTTATAACATTTTCATCAACCAATTAATACATAACCTTGTTTCAGATGTGCTGTTGTGTAAATACACTTAACGTACAGTCATGCACTGCATAATGACATTTTGGTCAAGTACAGACTGAATGTACAATGGTCGTCCCATAAGATAATAGCTATACCATAGAGCCTAAGTGTGTGGGCTATATCATCTAGGTTTCTGCAAGTACACTCTATAATGTTCACATGACGAAATCGCCTAAGGATACAGTTCTCAGAATGTGCCCCCACCATTAAACTATGCATGACTGCACACTGTTGATTCATTAACATTAACAGCCAACACCATCATAAATCATGCCTGAACAAAGCTTATATCTAATACAGTACACACATATTTTCTCTGTAAGGCACACCACAACCTTTTCGTGCTTAGGAACACTAGATAGCACTTTAGGACTACACTTTGGGGCCATTTTAAACAGCGAAACCACTAACAAAAAGCACAAAAACACAAAAAACATTACACTAAATAGACCACAAAAAGAATACTTGTTTATGAGACTTGAAACAAGAAGACAGAGCATCATCACCTTGTCCAACATGCTGAGAACATGTGTGTGGGCGACTCAAATTTTTTGTTGCTCTGTACAGTGCATATCTGTGAATGACTGTGAAAGATCTGTGAGTATTGATTTGGAGATTACAAATAAATCTTAGTGAACAGGGGAATTCACAAATATGGAATCTGCAAACAATGAGGATCAACTGTATACCTACAGGATTAAGTGTTAGAAGTAGAATTTCTGGATCAGAGGCCATGTGCATTTATAATTGAGAGAGATTGCCCAATTGACCTCCAAAGAAATTGTTTATTTTCTGCCAACATTAAATAAGTATGATGCTCTTTATTTTAAGCGAAAGAAAGTAAAAGAAGTAAAAGTTAAATGATTTCACAATATCAGTCACTGGAAAAGTTGTCAGGGAGGAATGAAAAAAGGTTGTTTAGAAGAATGCTAAAACTAAAGGCAAAATAGAAGCTCTTTTGTGTGTGTGTATTTCATTTAATGAATGCATTATCTTACCCAATTAACAGAAATTTTTTTTTTTTTTTTGTCTTTTTTTTTTTCGTGACTGGCAACGGATCGCAACCCTCAGTGTCGCTCCCGTACCGGACCGGGACCGGCAACGGGATCCTCACTCAGCCAGTGAGCGGCTGGTCTGTATGTGGGATCCGAACCCTCAGCGGGA